TTAAGCCTTTAAACCTTATAAAAAGAGATTTGTGCAGCTTTTAAACTTTTATAAATCATTTCATTTTAGAAAAGAAGTTTCTGCGGCTGTTCAGCTTTTACAAACCTTTAATTAAAAAACAAAATTAAAAACAAATAAAGTTTTCTGCAGCTTTTCAACTAGTTTTTGACTTTAAATATTTCTGCAACTTCTCAACTTTTTAAGCCTTTAATTTTTTTAAAACATTTTTTGCAGCTTTTCAAATTTTACTTTTCAACATTTCTACAACTTTTCAACTTTCATAAACCATTACTTTAAAAAAAAAAAACAATTTGTTGCAGCTTTCAAATTCTTTAGTTTTTAACTTTCAACGTTTCTGCAGCTTTTCAACTTTCATCAGCCTTTAAAAGAGAACCATGGGGTAAGTGTTTTTCCCCAAAGTTCTCTTGAGGGTAACGGGAGGACATATACTAACCTCCTCCCGTGACCCAAAGCTCAGTATATAGATTGCTATTGCGCGCGATATACTGAGAGCACCGCAGCCAGGACGGATCCCGACAATACTGTCTAGATCCACCCAGCTGCGTGATTGACAGCTGGCTCTGCCTATCTAGAGGCAGATCCAGCTCCACCCGCCCCCTCCCCCGTCCGTTCTGCCAGTCAGCGCTGGAGGATCGGAGCGGGGACAGGGGGAATCCCTGCGGGGAGCGGTGACTGACAGTCACCACTCTATGCAGGGAGATGATCAGAAAGTGAGCTGGCGACGGTATGTGTTCACTCACTTCCCTCAATAGGTATGTGTTCACTCAATAGAGCCGACCTGTGACAGTTTAATTGCCACAGTTCGGCTCTAACTATGAGGATAAGTGGAAAGCACTCACTCCATAGTTCTCCTTTAATTAAAAAAAAACAAAAAACATCCTGGTTATTAGCTTTCAAATTTTTGTAGCAGAAAGTGACAATGTAGAGCCTTACCATGCACATCAGCCAGGTCCTGCCCCATGCCGTCGTAGTAAATCTTGCCCCCTTTCTCCGTGGGGAAAAAGTAGGTCAGGAGGGAACTAGGAGGTGAGCAGTACGAATAAGATCCCAGGGGGAGATCCTTCAGGACCTCGTGAGGTTTCCAACAAAATTCCCGGAAGTGGGGGTGGTCCATGATCTTCCTCTCAATCCTGTGAATGGTCATCAGCCGCTCTTTAGTAAAGATATTGTTCTCCTCGTCCCCTCTGGCCAAGAAAATGAGCTCAATCCGCCAGTGAGCATGGCTCTGCGTGTTCGGAGTCATGTAAACACCTGAATATTCCTTAACGGACGCCCCGCGTGGATGGCGGGACTGATTCGCCGCCGGAGCCAAGGGTAGTGATGGAGCAATGGTTGAGCTGCTAGTTCTCAAAGTGTTATTGCACCACGGGGAGCTGCGTTTGACCCGCATGGGGCCATCCTGCTGGGAGGTATTCAGGTGGAGCTGCTGGAGCTGCTCAAAGATCAATCGCTGCAACGTTTCAGATGTAAAGTCTGCAACGTCCCTGCGGTTCCTCCCCCAGGTGCCGAACTGGGATTTCAAGGCAAGGGTCAGCGCGTCGAAGCGCTGGGAGGACTGGTGGTTGCGGATTTCAAACGCGTTGTAAGAGATGTCAATGTCCAGAGTCGGGTAGTGTACAAACATGATGACGGAGAGGACGATGGGGACCAAACAGCCCAAGGCCAGTAGAAAAGCGGCGCAGTAAACGTTTGTAAACACCCATCCCACTATGGTCCAAAATTCGCACGCCGGCATGGCGTCTTTTAAAGGCTTGGAAGTCCACTGGCAGTTCTTGCATATAGGCGACCTGAAGGCCACCTCGTCATCCTCGTCATCGAGCCACGCGTCCTGCAACAGGGGGTCATCTGTGTCCATGTTACCTGCAAGCCACGGTGCCGTGGAAAGGAGAGAACATGTTAGAGGGAAAGCAGAAAGGATTATAAAGTGGAAAAACATGAAGGCCACTATCACTGACCTCCTCTATCTGAAAATGCTAATTGCTTGGTTGTCATACTGCTCCAGTATCTTCAATACTTTCTGGGTTGTACAGACATACTCAGGTTCGGACCAAATCCATTCTGAACCTGAGTTCCTCCAAACCCGGAAGGAGCTGCTCCTGAACCCGGAAGGAGCCCCTTCTGCCCCCGAACGGAACCCATTCTGAACCCAGAAGGAGCTGCTTCTGAACCCGAAAGGAGCTTCTCCTGAACCCGAAAAGAGCACCTTCTGAACTCGGAAGGAACTCCTCCTGAATCCAGAAGGGGCTACTCCTGAACTGAAAAGGGAGCCGTTTCTGAACCTGAAAGGAGCCCCTTCTGAACCCAGGAGGAGCTCCTCCTGAACCCGAAAGGGGCTACTCCTGAAATCAGAAGGGAGCTCTATGCGTGCCTCCCAATCAACTGTAAGTGGGGAATTCCCTGCCCGCTGCTTGACGTAAGCAAATGGGTGGGATGTATATGGGCTTTATATGGCTACATGCCTACATGTGGTAAATGACAAGAGGGACCATTTCTCCCAGGACAGGTTCCCTTTAAAGAGTTTCCCATTTATTGTTGAAAAATGGAGAACCTGTTTAATTACATTGCAGTCTCATGGGTAACGACAACTTTTGTTCTCCACCTTCCTACATTCTGCTCCAGTGTTATGTTAAAGTGTAGGGAAGAGTAGTCAAGAAGAAGGAAGAGTATGGAAGAGTAGGGAAGAGCAAGGAAGAATAGGGAAGAGTAAGTAAGATTATAGAAGAGTAGTCAAGAATAGGGAAGAGAATAGAAGAGTAGGGAGGGGTTTTTTTGCCATGGCCTAGCTAGGTAGTCCTGATGACCACGGTCAATGTGGCAGAAAGTAATGAGAAAATTCAAAATGTCACCAATCTTCCAATAGAAACACCTGTTCAGCTGACAACTTTTTAGATGGAGATTTCCCCTCACCTTGATGAGGTTTTCTCTCACTTCCTGCTGTTTCTGAGACAGGAAGTGATGGGAAAACTCCATAAATCTCTCTAATGGACAGCAAGTAGGTTAATCAGCTTAGGATAGCGGTGGCTCTATTAAGGCTGCTCTCAACAATAACTGGGTACCCTTGAGAAGGGGACTCAGAGTTGGAGATCCATGGATACAAAGTCTAATGAGAACACCAAACAAAGGTCTAGGAGCCCAAAGACTTTTAATATTGGTATTAGTTCATAACAAGACAACATGAAAGAGCCCGTGCGTTTCCGGAACTTAAAGATCTCCAACTTCTTCAGGGCTTAAGTGTTATAAGTGATTAGGAGGACTCAGTGATGGCACAATTACCAAGATTAGATCTTTGATGTGTGAATGTTATACATATCCAGGATCGGTGGGTCAGCAAATTTTTAACCCCTTGAGCTGGTCATGACACCAAAATCCGGAAGGAGGGACTCCTCTTTATTCATTCTTTGTGAATGGCTGCACAGTGATGATGTAATCTGGAGCCCATTCTACTGGCTCCTGATCATTGGTAGTTGACCATGAGCTGTCGGTGACAGATCAGTCACATTTCAGGAGGGCCTTCAATTGAGCGCACCCCAAAACAACATAGTGACACATTTGTGCCACAGTTGACCGTACAGAGGTTAAAGGAGAACTATGAGGTGAGTGATTTGCACTCAGCCTCATAGTTCGAGCCGACGTGTGACAATGAAACTGTCACAGGTTGGCTCAATAGATCGGGAAGTGAGCGAACACATACCGTCACTCTCTCACTGCAGAGAGCTGTGACTGTCACTCAAGGCTCCCTGCAGGGATTCCTCCCTCCCCGCTCCGATCCTCCAGCTCTGACTGGCGGAACGGACGGGGAGGGGGCGGGTACAGCTGGCTCTGCCTCTGGATAGGCAGAGCCAGCTGTCAATCACGCATCTGGGTGGATCTTGACAGTAATGTCCCTGCGGCGGTCTCAGTATACAGCGAGCTGTAGCTTGGGGTATAATGAGCTTTGGGTCATGGGAGGACGCTAGTTTATGTCCTCCCATGACCCTTAAGAGAACTATGGGGAAAAACACTGACCCCATAGTTCTCTTTTTAAGTTCTTCAAGCCCCTGAAACGCATCCTCAGCCCTGATGCAAACAGTGGGCCGACTCTTGGGAGGAGTCATGTAGCTATGAAAATGCCTTGATGGGTGTCAATCATGAGTGGGAGTTCCTAGGCAGGCCGCATTTGCATAGATAATGCCCCCATGTGATGCTGAGCCTTCATGATTGAAAGAACTGAAATCCAATGAATGAGAGAGGCGGGGCCAGGGACCGTCAGCCTGGGGAGGCCGGATGATGCTGGCCGTCTTCCAGCCAGGAAATGAGGCGGGCTCTATGACTTGCTGCAGCTTCTAATGCACATTGTGAGAAGCTATCTTCTCACAATCCTCACAATACTCACTACTTAAGTATCCTCGGGGACACGTGTCGGGTTATCCAGTCTCCGCAGACGCAGTTTGATCTGTTGTTACTGGTTTTTTCGGCACTGTGTCCCCCTGGAAGCCACAGACGTCTATCAGGCTGTCACGTTGACACATCCTGGATTGTGCGCTCGGCGTGATAGCGTTTATTGTACAAATATGAAGACGTCGCCTCTTCAGAGATGACAGCTGACTCCACGTACACAAACGCACATAGACTTGTCATCTGTCACCGTCTCCTCCAGAGCAACACCGACAACCGAGTCAGTCTTGATCGCGGCCAACGTAATTAGCCCCCCAGGCTCCGGTTCAATTTGCCCCGCAGTTTTGAAGCCGCCTTACGTCCCCCGGGGTTGCGTAACCTCGCGATGAGTCACCTCTCCCTCCCACACTCACCCTTAGAGGACGGAGAATAATCAATAAGAGCGTCTTCTCCTCAGCCGGAGTCTAACAAATCATTCTGGATGGGATTACGGCTCCCGCTATAATTCCCGGCCGCAGAGGAGCCTTAACGAGCTCCCTGTACGCCGTAGGGCTTGCGTCTCCAAACCAATCCTCACTGCCACTCATAAAGGCGGGCGCGTTTATTTCCCTCTAGTTTGACGTGCGTTTTCTACTGAGTGTACCGATGTCAAGTGTCATGCCAACATGCATAGCAAGGAATGCGCACGTTTATGTTATAAAGTTATTATTGTGCCTCTCAAAGGTATCCAGACCGGTTCATGGGAGCCGAACATGGAAGTCAAGGCCAGAGCTGTAGCTACCATGGGGCGAGTGAGGCACTCTCCTCAGGCGCAGCTGAGAGGGGGCGTAGCCAGGGCCGGCCTGGCTGCGCCCCCTCACCCCTGTTGCCATGGCGAGCACAGGGCTCCATTGGCAACAGGTGCGCCAGGCGGCCAAAACAGCAGCGGCTCGGCAGGGAGAAGAGGAGCGGCACGGGCTCCGGCTTCTCCTCGGATCCCCGCTGCTCTCCCCAACCTGTATGGGCAGAGGACTCTGGGTCCTCAATCTCTTTTTCTATTTCAAAAGGGAAATGTCAGGGGTCTAAATAGTTCCTGAAGCCCCCCAAAAAGTAAAAAACAAAAACAAAAAAATTCACTCATGCACACATATTATTAGACATGTGCAAAGACTAAAAATTTGTTTTGGACGAAAGGAACGGAAACTCAAAATGTTTTCATTAGTTTTGTCAAACGAAACAAATTTTTATGCTATTGTGGATTTGGCCACCAGCGCATTCTGCACATGCGTGCCACCATCCTGGAGGCGGGGCGCATGATGTCACAATTTTCTGTTCTTGCCTCAGGTCCAAAAGGAGCTGGCTACGGCTCTGGTCAAGGCAAGCCTATGGACACTGCTTACCTGCATAAGAATTTATAGTTGTGTTCAGCCAAGTCTTCCATACATGACAACTGTGCTGGAGTTGCCGGGACGGTCCTGCATATTGTCCCTCTGTCCCATCGATGATGTGTCCTGGGCCATAACCTGGGGTCACAGCATCAGCCTTATTTGAGTTACTGCACATGCTTATTCATCGCAGGGATCTGGGCAGCAGTTGGGTGGTCCCCTCATATTCAGGGGTAGGGACTGGGCAGGATCAGCCCATTAAGTGGATATGAGGTGTGGTTCCTGCATATTTAAAGGTGGTGACCGGTCAGGATCCAACCATAGACATGAGGGGTGGTTCCTGCATATTTAGAGGTGGGGACTGGGCAGGATCAGCCCATAAGTTGACATGAGGGGTGGTTCCTGCATATTTAGAGGTGGGGACTGACTGGGCAGGATCAGCCCATAAGTTGACATGAGGGGAGGTTCCTGCATATTTAGAGGTGGGGACTGGGCAGGATCAGCCCATAGGTTGACATGATAGGTTGTTCCTGCATATTTAGAGGTGGGGACTGGGCAGGATCAGCCCATAAGTTGACATGAGGGGTGGTTCCTGCATATTTAGAGGTGGGGACTGGGCAGGATCAGCCCATAGGTTGACATGATGGGTTGTTCCTGCATATTTAGAGGTGGGGACTGGGCAGGATCAGCCCATAGGTTGACATGATGGGTTGTTCCTGCATATTTATAGGTGGTGACCGGGCAGAATCCACCCATAGACATGATGGGTGGTTCCTGCATATTTATAGGTGGGGACTGGACAGGACCAGCCCATAAGTTGACATGATGGGTGGTTTCCAGATATTTTGAGGTAGGGACTGGGCGGGACCAACCTGTAAAGCGTATTTTATTTGTGAGTGGGTGTGAGTGCCGTCTTTCTAGAGAGTGCTTTTCTCTCTAGAAAGACGGCACTATCTTTGTTCAGGCATCATCCGGGGTCATCTTCTTCTTCTTGGACTGAGATGCCGGCTCAGAGGTGACACAATCATGCAAATCCTGGTGTTGGTGCAGTTCTTGGCTGTGTTCACAAATGTCTGACACAGATCAGCCCCTGCTGCAGTTTCCCACCTTGTGACTTGCTAC